CCTTCAGCCTTAGGCTAATAAGCAATATTAACATACAGTAGATTGGAGGTGTGGCGGTATACAGGATGTAGAAATCATATAACTTCCCATATTTCAGAATCATATGTTCCATTATGCAAGTCAAATCTACATCCACTGCTGGCTGATGACACCATAAAAATATAAAGACAAGATAGGGCTAGCAATTGCAGCTTTGGAATCAGCTGTTCCACCCACTCCCGCTGGGATGCTCTCATACAGTAGCTAGTGACTGGACCCTTGGTTGTGACAGTTTCATCAGTGAGGACAGACTAACAGCCGCTAAAGCATGACGAACTCCATGGTGGAACTCCACCTGACTGTGCAGTCAGTTTGGAGTTTACTGGCCATAACACCCGCTGTTACTGTTGTTTTTTCAGGGCACAGGTTGGTACTGCCAAGTGTCAAAAATAACTGACTACTCACTGTACAGTATTAACAGCCCACAATACGTCAGTCAGCATGTTGATAATAGTATAGTCAGCAACTAGTCGATGCCATGTTGAAAAGCTCGATTCTGCGTGGTGATGCCAACTAGTCGACTAATCTGTGCAAACCCCTAACAGGATAATAATAATAATACTTTATTTATATAGCACTTTACAACTCAAAAGGGGCACAAAGTGCTTCACAGCAAAATGTATGTACTCTAAAAAAAAAGCGAAAAAGCCTAAAATAGATTAAAACACACTTTAAAACAGAGGGGAAACTGCATATTAAAATATAAATAACACAGAACAAGTTAAAAATATCTCTGTGAAATGAGTTAAGTACCGAAGGCCTGCCTGAAGAGATGAGTTTTTAAAGTTACTTTGAACGAGGCCAGCTCAGTTATGGACAGTATTTCTGGTGGTAGAGCGTTCCAGAGCTTGGGACCATACATGGAGAAAGAGCGATCTCCCCATTTTTTGTATCGAGATCGCAGGACAGTCAAAGAGAGATGCTCTGAAGAGCGTAGAGCTCTATGCGGGGCATAGACAGAAACGAGATCCGACACATATGAGGGGGCGAGGCCATTAATCGACTGGAATACAAATAACAGCACCTTGTCAGATGTCATTAATGTTTTCCTTAAGTGCCATGTGGTACAAACTGTAGCTTCAAATCAAGGCTCCAGTATCATGGTTGGTGCCATGGAAAAGTATGAACTCTGAAGTAAAATGCACACAACTAAAAAAGTGTGTTATGACTGCTGACATTTTCTAGTGGTCCTTGTTCTCTATTATGAGCCAAGTCACCTACCATTAGGCACCCCTTGAAAGTTAAAACAAAAAGTAAGAATTATTTGCACAAACAACTTGAGTGAGGACTCAAGTTGCTGCTTTGGGAAGAAGCTGTGCACAGAATCATTCTACCATTTGCTTCCAAAGGCTCTGATCACAGTGGGGATGACATGCAAGGACTGCGGCATGTCAGGGAGAATACAGAGCCAGTAGCACTGCTCAGCAGCCTCTCATTCACTCCATACAACCCACCCTTCAAAGAAATGTCATCTTTTATGGTCCCTTCAACACTCTCCAAATCCACTCCCCTTCGATCACTACAGCTCAAACACACAACAAAGTCACCAAGCGCCAATATCGGACTTCCTTTTCTCTCTGTCTGTCCCTCCTTCCATCTCTCTGATTGTCTGCCTGTCCTTTAGTGAGAAGAAACCAACCTGTGTCTCCACTTTGAGCTGACATGGCTGCCTGTCCCCCACTGCGCAGGCCAGTGGCAGCCCCAAAACCAGCCACCGAGTGCTGGCCATGTGGCATTTGCAGTCTGGGCACCCAGCTGAGAGTTACCAAGAGGGGAACTCTAAATGCCACCTATCCAGGCAAACAGATCGAAAGTGTGTGTGAAAGAATGAGTGGTTGTTAGGGCTAGTTTTTCTCTGAGACGGCGTGAGGGAGCAAGAGGGAAGCTAGTGGGTCCCCTGCGGCAGTCGCTGTCATCTCTCCAGGTGATGGACACACTAACTACACATTAGCCCCGCATTAGTCGCCCAGCCGCCCACCATGGCAACTCTGGAGTTAAAGACAAGTAGGCCCCGTTTTTCCCATTTAATGAGGAGTGATTTTTTTCTACACCTTCGTTGTATTCCCTGAGCAGGTCCGATCAATTTCCGGGCCAGGGCCCTGAGGTGGGGAGCTGATGAAAGTGGGATCGATCTCACTCTGCCCTACTTTGTTTACCTTTCCCAGCCTCCCCACAGATCAGCCAGGAGAACTGGTCCCCGCAGCTCTCTGCAAATGACCAGACCAGTGAACATTACAAGCTAGGTAATACTGTATATGCACACATTGCCATATACAATTTCATTTTATATATCCATAAAATAGTAGAATTCTTTTTCCCCCTTTCTCAGCCTACAGATGTAGGTGAAAATTGTTCTCTTGTCTTAGCTGCCACTTGTGAAGAACTTGCTCACGTCAGTGTCAATAATATTAAATTACAGTTGTATCAATTCATAAAAGCTTAAAAAATATATATTTCTATCTAAATCACAATTTTGTAAAACTCAGAAGACTTCACCTTTTTTGAGTAGATCTTTATTTGCGTAATAAACTTACAAAGCACACAGACAATCAAAAACCAATAAACCTGCAGCATGAACAATAAAAATGTCTCACCTGAATTGTTAAAGGGTACTACAACTCATTAAAATAGTACAATAATAAGTACAAACTACAAATTGCTCATAAAAATCTGTTTTGAGAAGGTATTTGTATAAGATTACAATCATGCCAATATAAGCCAGAGAGCCTAGGGACACATTTTGGTCTAGAAAACAGGACATAGTAAGGTTACACACACCTGCTTCGACACAGTTTACTTTCTGCCAGAACACATGGGAAAACCTTGTCCCTCCCTTCAATATTTACTATGGCGGGACCAGCATCATTAGCAAGATCCCTCAGGACACTGTGTCACACACCCACCTGGGAAGTGACACAATGACTTTAAATGAGACATGACGTTTGCATCTGGGATTAGCATTTCAAAGCCAAACATGCCAGGGCCGTGTGGCAATGGCGTGTTCGACTACCCTACCCTCCACCCTCCAAAACTAAGACAGGAGGTAGGATTAAAAAAAGACAGCGATGGGGACCATGCTTAACAAACAGGTCAGAACTTCAGCTTTCTTCATTTCTCTCTGTCTCCCATCAACCCCTACTTCAACTCGACATCCCGCCCCATCCCCAAACACTCATACTCAAAGGGCAGACGCTCTGCTTCATCATCGTCAGCCATGCCCATGTTGTCTGACAAGTACCAACCTCCACTCCCTGTTGTTGCACCACATTGCACAAGATCTGTGGCACATCATCCAGTGCTAGTTTGCTGTTTAGCACTTTTTAAAGGAAAGGCCCATAAGGCACTGCTCAGGTCAGGTTGCCTGCAAGTCTCAGGCTTGTTCACTCCTCGGTCGTCTATGTCAAACACGACCTGAGCAATATGCACCCACCAAGTGCCAAAGTGGGCAGCCATCATAAATAACTCCACCAACAATACATCATTTAAGTGGGTGTTCTGCTCTCATGTGCAACACCAAACAAATGGCTACATCGA